TTCTCTTGAATCATGCTTAGCTAAAGACAAAGAACAGGGCAAATGTACATGAAACTTCCCCCTAGTACAATCCTAGCATCTTTTAGCTCAGAGACTTCCTGATAGTAGTCTTCATGGTGTTCTCGGGTCATTGTAGATTGGTTGTATGCTTAACGTGGTAAGGCTTTCATGCTCTCAAGAAGCTTTTTGTTCTTCTAGCTGCTCCATTTAATTTCCTTTTAACTGGGTTTCTCACATTTACGTTGTTCTCCTATTCAAAGTCAAATGTTGAAGTAGTGAATTCTTTTTTTTTATTTCTCTGGGAGTTTAAATATCTGGATAATTACATCTTGAGCTACAATGCGTGGCTCAGAGTTAGACCAGGAGTTGTTTTTCCTCCTGTTAGTCTTCTAGCTGGTTGCAGTTGGTTGTAAGTTTTCTTTTTTTTTTTTTTTTTTTTTTTTGTGGTCTGCTGTCTTTCCGTAGTCTGCACAACATCAGTTGAAGTCTTCAGTTATTATGTTGCAGTCTCACTTATTCCTCTTATCTCACATGTGCTGTCACTGTTGAGTGGAAATGATTGATAGTATACCATTAATGTGCTATTTATTCTAGTTTGGAAGTGAACTTTAAATGTAACACAGTACCTGTTGAGGTAAGTAAGTTAGTGAGGATACTGTGCTTTCCTAGGAGAAAGCAGTATTCCTTCACTGAGGTGAATCAATCACTCTGTTCTTGTTCCTATGTTTGTACCTCAGTATAATACTGTCTCCTGAATTTTGTTCATCCATGAACTTTTGAAGATGTCTGTTACATATTCTCTCAAAAGCAGTCTTTCAAGTTTTCCTTTTTTATTTTTAGGCTTCTAGTCTTTATAGGGAAGCACTTGCACATGCTGGCCCTACTTTGGATGTCTGTTTCAAGTGCCCTGTGTTAGTGGAACTGTAATTTTGTCTGGATTTCATTTACTCTTTTTGATTTTTGTGGCTTTGCTCTAAGTCATGACTCTGCTCTTCTGTCACCTTCATCCCAGGTGTTATAACAGCACTTAGTAAAGGCTTTCAAATTCCATTTTCTGCTTTTGTTAAAGTGGAGCTGAATTTTTTTTTTTTTTTGGTAGACAAACACTCCACCTCAATTTCTGCAGTTCATGATAAATGTAAAACACAGTTTTTCAACAGTGGAGTTAAGACTTGGCCTATGGACCATTACCTAGCTGTCTGTCCTAAAAGCTGTAGTATTTGCCATCCTTCTAGAGAAGTGCCTACGTTTTGCCTTTTATGTCTTCCAGCAATTAAGCCTTGAATGTAGCTATGGGATTATAATTTATTTCAGCATTAAGACTTTTATAGGTGAGTGATGTAGCCTAGTTTAAAAGGAGGACACACAAAGCCTGGTTCAGGAAGGACTGTTGTATATTGGTAGTTCTTCTCTTTCCGACCAGCTGTAGTGTTGGTGCCTGTGCACTACCACAAAGCCATGAACTCATTTTGCAGCAGAATTGAATGAACATTTTCTGCAGACTAGGTCTTGCCAGTTTTTTTGGTCTGCTGTCTTCCTGTAGTCTGCACAACAGCAGCTGAATGTTTTGTTGGTTTCTTTCAAAGTCTCAGAGATTCATCCAGTGATCAGTCTTATAAATCTTACAGGTTTCTAGCAATTGTATTTCTGTTGTTAAGCATTTTTCTCTGTGAGATTTTTCCTAGTTTCCCATTCTAAACCTATTGTTTTCATTCTGTAGATCATTCCTTCTTTGTCAGTTGTTAACTTAGAAATACTGACTGTGCCATTGCCTGTGTAGTTTTTGTGTTTGTCCATGCTGCTAGCATTTTTAGAACACAAGCTGCCTCAGTTTACAAATTTTTGAAAAAAAAAATAATTTTTTTTTGGTAATTTTGTTACTGAGTCTTGCAGGGGTAAGAGCTGATATTGTGAGAAAATATATGCGAATTTTACTTATGACGATACACTAACAGTTAAGCACATAAACTTATTTTTATGTCATACTTAATACATGTCATTAAAATATTTTTAAGAGCTTTTGTGGAAAAAAATAAATGTATTTAGGCAAAAAGATAAGTTTTGGGTCTTTGCTACATATTCTGTACATGTACTGTAATATGGCCCTAGTCTGTCTGTCTGCTAAGGATCTGTAGAAGTAGGAATAGCAAAGGTTTGAGTCAGGCCTGAAGGTAAAGTCTTGGCATAGTGTAATTTCTTCTTTGCTCCTACCTGTTTGGTATATTTAAAACTTTATTAAAATCTTTATGTGCTTGTGATGCTTTTGTCCTTGTAGAGAAAGAAAATACGTGGGATAAACCTGGGAAACTTTAAGAATCAGTGAACTGAATGAATTATTTTCAGCAAAAGCAGAGATGTAGGGCAGTCAAACTTTGATTTTTTCAACCCTAGAGGGAAAAATGAAGATAGGTAAAAGAGAATATTGGATTAAATTAATCTTCAGTGTAACTGATTTCCAGGGAGGTGCAAGCCAACTGCATTGATAACACAATTTTTTTTTGGTAAGAAAACCTCTTTCATGCCAGTTGAATGTTACGTTCATTGCAGTTCAAATGCTATTACATAATGGCATTTGGCTGTAAGGCTAACGTATGAAGGAATTAATCTGGTTCACAGCTTTGCTGTTTGGTCCTTCTTCCAATGCTGCACCCTGCTCCAGCTCAGTTAATGGACAAGAGGGCTTGAATGATGTTGTAAATGCATAGAAGAGTATTTGAGCTTTATTCCTCTGGGCCTCTTTCCTGTCTGGGGTTTTTAAGGGCTGTCCTCAAACAGTAGATAACTACAGAAGTTGTTACTTTATTTTAAAAATGCTGCCAAGTCTGGGAAGCCTAGTAACTCTTACAAAACCTGAAGAATAAATATAGGCTTGAACTTTAAACATTTTCAGTCTCTCGTGAATGTTCACATATGTTAATATAACCTATGGATGCCCAAACCTGTGCAAAGTATCACTGCAGTGCATACATACATTGCTAATAATTTTCACATGGTAAGGTTTATATTGCATTGTAAAACTGATTTATAGTGTAAGTTCTGTAGTTTTCTTTTTGCTGCATCTTAATTTTAGCATAATGTATTCTGCTACAAGCATCAAGGAGGTTGATGTGATAAAAAGCAAAGAAATGTAACTGCTAAGGTTTATTTTCTCAATAGCTCAGTTTACTTGAACTGTTTCTTTCCTTAATATGCTATTACAGATATACTTTTTAATTCTAGTGTTTGATTACTTAATTACAATTATGTCTGTCTGTGTCTTGCCAAACGTTGTATTTTTTTTCTGTCTACCTATAAAACGTCAAAGGATTCTGGAAATGTGATGTGACAGAGTGGAAAATCTAGAATGAACAGTACTGTTGCTGCTTTACTCACAGCAATGACTGTATAGACTGACATTCTCTCTCTAGCATTGTAGGATGATAGTGCTAAAAGTCAGTTTTGAACTTAAACTGTATATTTAGAAGGAAGTTGGTTTAGTGAGCACAGTTGGTAGAAGAAGTTTGAGATTAAACTGTTTTGGATATCTAATGTTTGTTTTAACCCTGTTTCAGAACACACTGCTTTTGTGGAGGGCAGGAAGTTGATACAAGAAGATCAAGTTCCCTAGAGGAAAGAAAATAAGAGCTCTTGGAGCAACTTATTAAGGTAAACAGATTGCAGTGGATTTCTGGATGGGTAAGTATTGATGAGCAGGATATTTCTACTTCCTCCATTTACCCTCCTTTATAATGGGTTTATAAAAAAGCACAGAAAACTGCTTCTAGCCTTCACAAAAGCTCAGTGATGTCACACATCAGTGCAAGACATACCCAAATTATTATGTAATTATGTCTGTACTTTTCTGGTTGTGTATATCAAGATCAATTTACCTTACTGATTTTTAGTACAGATTTTTTGAGAGATTTTAGGTCCTTTACCACCAATTATATACTTGGTTGGAATTACAGGTACAGAAATTGTATGCCCAGGTTGCCTTTTGTATTTTTTTTAATGCATGCTAGAATTGACAATTATAAACAACAGATTCCCCAAACTGAACAATTACTAAAAGCAAACAGAAACCCCCAGGCAAAGCAGCTGTTGGGAAGGAGCCTGAAGAAGCATCTCTTGCTGTTAAGAGAGATAAAGTTGTTGAAGGCTGCAACGGAACATGAGGTAGTAATTCAGGACCTGAAATGAACTGCTTCTGGCAGTGGCTAGAAATGAGAGGCTGCTGTGCACCTTACACTGCTCAGTATATCTGCGGCAGTTCCATATCTCTTTAGCTTGCAGCTTCTCACAGGAGCCATCTCTGTAGCCCTTCCTCTGCTACCAAAAGGCTGCTGCACAAATCCGATACACTTCTGGTTCCAGTTATAATGGGGCCAACTAGGGAGCCGTGGCAGTGTGGGGTTGGGGAAAAAATCAGATGAATTTTGAAGTTAGTAATGTGCAAATTTTTTTTTTTTTTTTTTAAAAAAAAATTTTGGCTTGGGTATGTGCTTCAGTCTTTCATTGTATGAATTTATTGATATTGAAACTCTAACATTTCTAATAGAAATGAAATTTAATAGAAATTCAAATTGTCTTTCTGCATGCCTAGCTTTTGATCTTGCTTTGCAGTCTAGCAGAAGTGGTGTTACAGGATCATTGTGTGCATACGTGGGTGGGAGAGGGACTGAGAAATCAGGACCATGTAATAAATACCATCAAAAATCATATTTCCTGTGTATACATGTATGTATTGCTAAACATAATGATGTATAGCTATCATGTGGGAAATGTTAGTACTGCGAGTATTTTTTTGCTGTTATAGGATTAGAATGTAATTGAATGTTAAGGCATTCAAAGATGGGCATAGAGAAACTTTTCTTCCTGAGATTATGTTAAAAAAAAAATAAAAGCTGGAGCTTTTAATTCTGTAGTGATTTTTAAGAGCTGTTATTGGAAAGCTATATCTTTTTCTGAATTTGGGCATGTTTTTTCTTGCTTTATGTTTTTCTTTAAACAGCAGAACTGGAATGGACACGAGTCCTCCGGCAGGATTAGAACTGTCTGAACATACTCCTGGTCTATTAGGGAATACCACCATGGCAGCAGGTCTTGCAAATGTAGGAAATACGTTTGGAGGTCCACCAAGTTCTTTAGTTTCTAGACCTAATAAATTCCAAAACTTGCCTATAGAAGATGACGATGATGTAGTTTTTATTGAACCTATACAGCCTCCACAAAATTCTATGTCACTGATAGCAGATCAAAGGAACACTGCATTTACATCATCAAAAAATGAAGAACTTCAAGGGAATGATTGCAAAATGCTTCCTCCTCCAAAAGACTTAAATTCTCAAAAGGGGAGTATAAGTGAAACTATTATTATTGATGATGAAGAAGACATTGAAACAAATCAGGGACAAGAGAAGAATGCTTCCAGTTTGAATGAACGAAGACTTCCAGAGTGTAAAAATAGAACCAACGATACGGAATTCTCAGCTTCCAGTTTTTCGAGAAGTAAGGTAAATTCAGGAATAGGTAACAGTGGTATAACCACAGAACCAGACTCTGAAATTCAGATTGCTAATGTTACTACATTAGAAACAGGTGCTATGAGCTCTGTGCGTGATGGTCATTTAGAAAATGCTGAAGGGCGTGACATGAACTTAGTGATTACCCATGTAACATCACTGCAGATTGCCAACTTGGGAGATTTATATAACGGACTGCAGTCAAGTAATTTTGGTGTTAATATGCAAACATACACCCCATCTTTGACTTCACAGACCAAGACTGGTGTAGGACCTTTCAATCCTGGTAGAATGAATGTGGCTGGAGATGTATTTCAAAACGGAGAATCTGTGACTCATCATAATCCTGGTAAGTTGCAGTTCTGAACATTTCCTTAGAAGCCAAAAACAAATAATGGAATGTTTGATTAAAATATTTTTTCAGTGGCACTGCTTGGTTTTTTAGCTTAATTCATATAGAAGATCATGGTTCCCTTCATCGCTATCACAGCTTTCGCTGTGACTCCAGAATAAAATATGCTCAATGACATAATGTGTTAGGTAGGTAAACTATCCCAGTTTAGCAGTTAGTGATACTTTCAGATGTTTTGAGACATAAGAATTTGTAACTAAAGCAGAGCTTGCTTTATGATGTAAGTGTACTCATTTAATTGACACAAACGTTAGTGCATCTATGTAACTTTGTACCTTTTTTTGTGCAGTTCTATGACTATATAATACATCAAAGTTATTTAAATATTATTTTACCGACCTGTTGTCTTGACATCTGAATATAATTTGACAAGCAAAAAACCTGAATTTAAAAGTCTGATCTTAAGTTGTAAGTAGCTAGCTGTCATAATTCATTGCATACTGAGCAATTCTTGGTATTTACAACCCTTAACAAAACGAGATCCAGGTTACTTGTGGACTCGCATATTGTTACAGTAAGTTATACACACTTCATAATTGCTGTTTAATTGCCTCTGATAATACATATTTATATGATAATGATATTAGTTAGTTTGAATTGGCTGATTTTGTTCGATATCTTGGTGTAAATAGTAGTATATTGTCTCCTGCTTTAGCAAGTAGGTAGGTATTGCTAAAAAGAAAATGGAGCAGCCATTAATAGTGTTCTGGAATTGCTATTCTACAGAATTTAAGCTCTCACATAAGCAATTAAAACCCTTCATTAAAACCCAACCCAATTAAAACCCAAATTCCAACATATACTGGTACTCTTCTGTCCTGTTAGGCTAGAAGTGGGGGAAAAATCCAAGTTAGCACTTCTGCTACAGGTTTAACTTCAAACTAGTTAGGGTCATTTTGAAAGGAAAATTCTAAATGGGTAGAATCTAGGTGCATTAGTCCCTTGTTTATGCACAATTTCTTAATTTGATCATATGCTCATTAAAACGTGTTTTTTACCTGTTTTTCAATGAATATTTAAGTAACACAGTTGTTTGGTCGTATATTACCAAATTTGGTCATATATTACCAAAAGTACTTTTGTAAAGTATTAATACCTTTTATACTGTGTAATGGAAATGGCAGTATGAAGGTAAGCTTTAAGTCGGATGTTAGGTGGTGGGGTTTTTGTGTTAATCTTGAAACTGATTTCAAAATTTGACTTCTGAAGTTGAAAGCTGCGAAGTTTTATAGTCTGGATATCTCACTGAATAATTTAGAAATTCAGTTCTTAATCTTTTAAAGCCAACACTCCCACTATTGCTAGTTGATCTCTTACACACAGGTTATGATTGTTGTGTTATTACAGATGGTCAAGTAGTCATGGATGAGAACTTAAAGCATTTTTTACCTTCAAGTGGTGCCTTTGTTTTTCTTGGGGAAAGCACATCTTAAAAAAAAAATCAGCATGTACTTTGCCTTAAACTAATGAACTTTTTTTTTTTGGTGTGATTAACAGAGACACACCAGAATTTTGCTGGTATGAAGTCTGACAGGATGGGACCATAGCAGTATTGAAACAGATTGAGTTCAGAGAGACAGAACCAGTGGCTTGGAGTTGTTTTAGGGACTTGTTGAAGATGACTCACCCAGAAGGGAGGAAAAAAATAAGTTTACAAATAGCTATGAAAGATGTATTTCGAAGTGTACATATATATGATTTTTTTTATGGCTGTGGTATTTGCATGTGAAAATAATACACATGGAAGGCTAGTGGAGTCTGCAACACAGGGACATGGATTTGTGTACTGCCAGAATTTAATTAAATTAAATTTAATTAAATATTATTTTCTAGGTTCACTGATTTCTACTGAGGAAGACCTGGAACTCTTATGACTTTGCCTGTTTGCACATTAAGTGGTATTATTGCACTGAAAAAGTTAGTGAGAAAAACAAGAACTCTAATAGGAATCAATGACATAGATGCAGATGTGGAGCCACTGTGCTTCATTCTAACTGCAATATAGTTCTCTGGCTGCAGGATAAACTAGGAAACTGGTATGGGGAAGCCCAACTCTAGGGTTTATCACTGACACCGCACACATAAGATTTCATGTTCTTAGCAATTTGCAGAGTTTATAAAGCTTAGTTTAGAAATTTCGTGTTCTCTGTTAGTGTCTCCCTTTCTTTATTGCAGTTGATAATTGCAGTTTTGTTTGCCTGAAGGTAAAATTACCAGTTTGCAAACCTAGTGCAAGTGAATTGAGGTCTGTAAAACTTGTCACTAGATGTAGGATTAGACCATCCTGAAATTTGTTCATGTTCTGAAGCTTTGTAACAGTGGAGAGTGATACCATCAAACAGCATTTTACTTTAAACCTGAATTTCTAAAATCCTGTCTTTCTTCTGTTGTCAGGTCCAACAGAAGAATGATTTTATGATCATATATCTGTGAATATCATTCTATATATGTGTCTGTTCACTTTTATGTTTGTTTGGACTTTTTTGTCTTGAAGATTCTTGGATATCCCAGTCAGCTTCCTTCCCTAGGAATCAGAAGCAACCAGGCATGGATTCCTTGTCACCTGTAGCATCACTTCCTAAACAGATTTTCCAGCCTTCTGCCCAGCAGCAGCCTTCTAAACAGGTTAAAGTCACATGTGCAAACTGCAAAAAGCCTTTACAAAAGGGACAGACTGCATATCAGCGAAAAGGATCAGCTCACCTTTTTTGTTCTACTACCTGCCTCTCATCGTTCTCACACAAACCCACTCCAAAGAAACTTTGTGTTATGTGCAGAAAGTAAGAGATTTTTTTTTTTTTTCATATTAGCAGCTGAATCCAGTAATACTTGGATTCTCATGCATGTATGAGAATTGTTCCATTAATGATATAAAATCTGACTATACAAGTACTCTATAGAGTGTCGCTTCAATATTGCTTGGAAATGTTGAATTCACTGTCTGCTATAACAAAGCTTTTGAATTCAGAGTATAGCAGATTGTTTCTATGAAAGCAAACATGCTAAAAAATACTGATTATTTTTTTTTAAAACAAGGTGTCCAAGTTATAATACATCCTGTGACAAGATGTATCATTTATGTCTAAAGTCCTTTATGAAAAAAAAGTGGACCATGTGTTGTATAGAAAGCATTTTGATAGCTGAAAAGATAAAATCAAGAGGCTTTAAAAGGAGGAGAAGCTGATACTTGCAAGAAGCTGGAAGAAATTTGGGAGCTCCTCCACTGTTAATGTGAGGAGAGGAGAAGCCTTAGACTTCCCCATCGTTAAGGGCAACAATGGGAACTTTTGAAGTGGAAGATACCTTAAGAGGACAGTACAGAGGGAGTGACAAGCATATCTGGAAATGGCTTATTCTAAATTATTGGTTAGGTTTGACTTGTAATGTTTAACTTTCTCCCAAACTAAAAATTACCAAAGAGAATTCCGTAATTGTACTGCTGTAGTGATAGGTGTACAAAATAGCTGTACTGTCTTTCTCATTCAGCGTACTGATTCCTGAGGTACTTGCACGTTTTTATATTTTTTTCAGTTTCAATCCAGTACACCCTGCAGTGACATTGGTTAAATTATGAATTCTTGCTGAACTAAAGAAAGCTTGCAGTAAAGACTGCCTTTGTTAATGTATGTTTTGGAGAGGGTGGTCTTTGTTCAGTCACAGATTTAAACTAGTGAAAAAGTTACTTCAGTATGTAGTGTGGTGGATTAATGGCTTATATTCAGACATAAACACTGATTTTTGTTTTCTTTTTCCTTGAGACTTGGTAAAAGTAAACTATAGAGAGTATTGGTATCCCGTGTATTTATACCTTGGTACACTGAAAACCTAGCAGATTTAACATTTTAGCTTTTTTTTAAAAACGTGTAAAAACTCAAATTCTCTCACCCCTACAGAGCTAATTAAAAGCACTCTGTACTCTTTCTGTTGGCTTGTATGTGTTTATACGCCTTTTTTTGTCCCCAGAAGTAATCTAGTGGCTACCATTTTCAGCTAGCTCCTTTATATATAAAAGTGAAGATTAGACAAATCTTTTTATTTCTGACTGAAATCTTGAAAATTCATGGCTAAATATGTGCTCTCCGGCAACTTTGGAGATGCTTATCTGTGTATTTTAGGAGACTACATACAAAACTGCCCTAAATGAAAAGGTGAAGAAAATACCTGACACTTAGCTTTTGGAGTTACTTACAATTGTTTAGATTTCTAGAGAACCTCTATGAAGTCACCTTTGGGAGTTTTTGAGGTGGTGGTGGTCTTCGCTCTTCTAGTATGCAGTTGCTTACTCAATAGCAGTTTTAAATAGAAAGCAGTATGTGCATGAAATTGTTCCTCTTTGGGCTTCACAACAAAGCCATATTTTCCAGCTTTTTTGCTTTATTGCCAAATTTTTGCTACCTGCTGGTAGGAAACGAGGTACTCTTTGCTCCCTATTTGGTTTTGTTTTTTTCTTCCTAAAGCAGGCATAATATTGTCAGATTGCAGTTCAGTGAAAGGATAAGGGAACTTTCAGAGGTAATACTCAGATTTATCTGTAAATATGTAGATTACTTTAGCTGGAAAAAGTGAAGTCTACAATAACTTCAAAAAAAAAAATTGTATAACCCCATCTGAAGAGTCAGAATTCTTACATATTTTGTTGTAAACCACTTTTCCAGCACTCTTCTGAACTTTTGTAACTACATAAATGGCATAGGAATTATTATAAGAAGGAAAGTACAGGAAATATCTGATGTTGTCCTTAGTGTTTATAATTTTTATTGACTTGTGTTGCTCTTTTTGACTTCACGCTTGTGTCCTTTGATAAGTTAATAAGTGCTTTGATATAAGTTAATAGTGTTTGTAAGTCCTGGTTGAATCTAGCCAGAAACTGTAAGCTCCTTGGGGCAGGAGCTCTGGTTTTGTTTTGCAGAACAGAAGCTCTTAACACTCCCCAACACAAATCTTTACTAGCTTGCCAAAGGGCAAGCCTGAATCTGTTGACTCTCCTTTGATGAAAGAAGGCAAGTGTTAATATCCAGGGGTGGTACTAGTTTATTTTCAAGGGAGTCTGTCAAGGGAAGCATACACCATTTTTGCAATGTTTTCCACTCATCCTGGTTTTAGGGCTCCTAGGTGTGAGTGTCTGGGGCATGTCTTTTCCAGCTGGAGATCGTTTTGGTGTCTATGTAGGTCCAGACGTGCCCAGTCAACTTTTTATTTATTCTGCCCAATAGCATTTCCTGAATGTCAATAATAGTTTTTTTACTTAGAGGGCAAAAGGCGGGGGGGGGGGGGGGGGTCTTTTATTTCTTCTCCTTACAGCTTCTGATTTATGGTATGTGGTAGTTTGGGACTAAGAGTGAAACTGCCTTAGAAATGACCCTAGAAGTTTGGGACACCGGACTACAAAGGTGCACTGACAAGCATGGTGTTAGCGACTTGGCTAAATTTGCAGTGTGTGCAGCATACAATTGAAGATCAAGGAAGCCTAGAATTAACTTCTATGATAAACACTTTGGTTAGAGGAGGGTTTGCTCTACTTCAAATTAATTTGATTGATGGTTGCTTATTTGGTTTGATGCATTAAATTGGTTCAGTTTCATAGGCAACTGCATGATCTGTTCAGGTACTTTGGAACCTGAACATTAACTTTTTAAAATTTTAAGTTATAAAACTTCTAGGCAAGTTTGCAGTAGAGTTTTAAGCTTTTTAGTTGTATTTATGAGAAGACAACCTCTCTTCCTCACATCTTATTCTGGGATTAATACTGGAAATGGTGGAGTTCTATACAAATAAAGACCATTTCTTACCTTTTACTGTAAATCTGAATTTTTCATATGAAACTCAATGATACCTTTTGTGTTAAGTTGCAAAAGGGCTGGGTTTGCCACAACTGGCACCTAATGGTGCATTAACGTCACTTAGTTCTAGAATAATCTAATGGGGGAAAAAAATAACTCCAGTCCAAGCAAAAAAGTAGGCTTTTACACAGGAGAGACATTGTGCTTGCATTACTTACAGTAGTTGTAAAAATATTATTAAATTTATTGTTTGCCGTGTGACTAACAACTGTATACCCAACAAAACCGGTTTGAAATGTAAACATCAAATGGAAGAATGGATGTAACGTGTTCTTGTCTAAAAATGTATATTTGTATTTATACACAAAGATTTTTTTTTTTGTTCTTTCAGAGATATAACAACAATGAAAGGTACCATTGTTGCTCAAGTTGATTCAAGTGAGTCTTTCCAGGAGTTTTGCAGTACATCTTGTTTATCCTTCTATGAAGATAAACAGAATCCCTCAAAAGGAGCTTTGAATAAGTCAAGATGCACTATCTGTGGTAAACTAACTGAGGTCTGGTTGACTGTTTTTTCTCTTACCTTCCTCAGTAATGGCAATATTAATTACATTCTGAAATAGAAGAACTGAAAATAAGGAAATTTAAAGTCTGATTCAATATTTTCATATGCAGTAAGATATTAAGATATACAGGCTTTATATTAATGAAGAACAACTGAAGGAAGAAAGAATTCAAAGGGCTTAATATTTGATTTTTGTTTCAGAAACTTGAAGTGCTTTTTGCTGATACCTTGTAGCTACTGTCAACAGTTTTATTGGGCAATTGTAACCTAAATTTCTTACATAGAAGAATTGCTGTTGAAAAAAGTAATGGTTTACTGTATTGCCTACTTTTCAACTGTATGTTTTGAAAGATTATGCAAATGCTTTTAGACATATGTAGAAAATGAATAATTTTAAATTCTGGTGAATGTATTAAGCTACTCTTGAGGCCATTACTGGGCTCACCATAGTTCAGGCTACTACTTCACATGGCACATGTATCTGGCCAGTCTTTATGTGCCTTGTTGTTAGCCTGCAAATTGATTATTTTATAAAATTGCATAAATTGACTTCCTGCTCTAATATGCAATTATTACATCCTTCCCTGTGATCTTTGCTTCTAGGGTACAACAGCAAATGGGTCCAAGATTTTTTTCTAGAACTTTGGAGACAACAGGGACACCCATTTCAGTTTCTATGTTTCATGGTCATTTCAAGCATCTCTGTTCTTAAATAGAGAGCTAGTACAGCCTGTTTTTAGTTGTTGTGCTTGAACGTAAGACTCTGGTAGTTTCAGGCAACTTGCTGCTTGTATGGTGATAGAATATTTTTTTATTTTTATTTTTTAGATTCGTCATGAAGTTAGCTTTAAAAATATGACTCATAAGCTGTGCAGTGACCATTGCTTCAATAAATACAGGATGGCAAATGGTTTAATAATGAATTGCTGTGAGTATTGTGGCGAGTATTTGCCCAGTAAAGGAGCTGGAAGCAATATTCTTATTGTTGATGGTCAGCAGAAAAGATTCTGCTGTCAGAACTGCCTTGGTGAATACAAGCAGGTAATTACTTCTTTACCTATAAGTTCGAATTAAATAAACATTAATACTCCTTAAATTTATCCTGTTATTCATAGCATGGTTTTACTTCTCCTTTGAAGTCTTAAGTAAAAAAGACTTCTAAAACTTAAATTAATGCCAGTGGAGGTAAACTAGCCAGAATGGACTTTACTACTTGCTTATTTTGATGTTGCTACAATACCTATCATTAAAATATAATTCAAATTAAACTTTCTGTTAATAATTTCTATTTCTTTCTAATGAGTGTCTCACGAATATATTAATAGCAAGCCTGACACACAGGCTTACTGGTCCTTCAGTGATGTTCTTTTTTAGATATAAAAGCTCACTTGTATGCAATCAAAACATTCAAAAATGTGCAGAGCATACAGATTGGACATCGCTGTGAGAACGCTCTAACTGATTATGCATTGGCTGTGTACCTGCACTATGTCTAATCTCCTTCACCGTACAGCATAAGGTTTCAAAATTACAGTTACTTTCATCCTTCCATGTGTTAAATTTTGTGCTTTCATTTTTTATACTTGGTTTATTTTTTAGTTGTTCTTAAGACTGTTAAGATAGTAATAATTGTTGTGGTTAAAAATTCCAAATCAGGAAATCTGATGCTGATGTCTTTTACATATTACTGAGCCAGCTTAGCTCTGAACTGTTGCTAATGCTGGCTGGAAGGTTTAAATGTTAATCACAGTATTTATGGTATAATAGAATCTGAAAATAATAAATAACTCTGAAGTATTCAATATTTTGGGGGAGGATATGCAGTTTGGGGATTTTTTTTTTTTTTTGTTTGGGTATTTTTGCTTGGTACATAGGTATAGTGTTATGAAATAACAGAAGTACTATTTTACTAGCAAGAAATTTCTTTATCTAATTTTGAAGTTCACACATGAATATGTGGGTGGCCCCAGTGCTGCACTTTGTTTTGGGTTCTTTCTTCATCTTTTTCCATTTTTAAGAAAAGAATGATCCAAGAGAAAAGGGAGTGCAGCGCTGAATGTTTTTTAAGTTCTTCAATGTTGCATCATGTATGTTTGTATTTTCTCTTTGGACGTTCAGTTTTGATGCTTTTGGGGATGGCTCTTCTTGTATATATGCAATGTGCAAACAGCAAATCTGGAAACGTGCGTATGTAAACAGCGTAACTGAAAACGTAACATAAGCGTTATTCTTTTGTCACAGCTGTACGAAAAGGGACAGGATAGGTTTCCAAGATACTAAAAACATAGGCATGCCCAGAAGCCATGGAAAGACTTGAAGAAACGTTGAATACTGTGTCTCGGCGAAACAAAAAGGCATGAGATTAACTTTGAACTTGAGACATTCCCACACAACCAGTATAACATGCACTGCACATGGAATTATGAAACGAACGTGGAATTTTGAGAGGTCGAATGATAAATCTGTACTTAACTCTCATTATAGACTGTACTCTTGTTCAGATATTGTTGTATTTTGTGTTTAGATGTGTATTTGAGAATGAGAAGGATATGGGTAGTAAGTTGTATGTTTTGGTGTGATTTGGGGAGGAGGACCAGTTTGCAGAACCAGGAATCTTCGCAAGTAGTGTCAGAAACTGTGCATTATTGTGAGGATCCTTAAGATAACCTTTTAAATTGAGACACGTTATTTTGGTGCATTCAGGTCTGACAGCAGACTTCATCCAAACAAGTTCTTAATTCATTTGTGGAAATATTTGGTACTGGGGAACTATAATAGGCCGTAAGAAGCTTAATTCAAGTGCTTAAGTGCATCTGGTTTGGAGTGGTGGTTAAGTGTAATTCTTAACTGATAGGTTTCAAATATTTCTGGAGTTTGGGGGTTTTGGGGTATTTTTGATATTAAGATAAACTCAAACTATAAAATGAAGGGGGTTTTTTTTAGTGTATGTTGTAGGTGTCAAAGTTCTTCAGGACACAATTATTTGAGAATATTTAGTTGTCTAGCAGGATTTATTCAGGTTTAAACTTCTGTTTGCATTAAGATTTTTCTGAACTGAATGTTTTCAAGGAATTCTGTTTTTTAAAAAGGAATTTAGACTTTGGAAAATGTCACTGGCAAGTAATTGGGCCACAACTGGTGAATTGGAGGTTGCTTTGTTCAGTCATAACAGTGTTTTCTTTGATCTTTTGGATTGGATTTTTGCTTTAAAAGGAGAATCGGTGAAGGAGAGAGTATGGGAGAGTTGCTGTTACATACTGAAATAAACTTAATGGAGTCAATAATATAGGAAAAGTTGATGTATCATCTGATTACAGCATTGTGTTGTACAACTGATTATTTTGTGTCACATAACACTTTTAGCAAATGTTTTCTTACAAGCAGTTGTAAAATACATAGGTCTTACTGGTATGAGCTTTGTATTAAGCAGTTTCTCTTGTAAATGTCATACACCTATCAATATGCTATACAATTGTAGTAGTAATAAATGAAACTGATTATTACTTGTACCTATCTATATACTTCATCCCTATTTTTTTAATAAATATTACACTGTTTTGAACAATTAATTTTCAATAACTTTTATCATGGACATTTTTTCTTCCTGGATTGAGAAATTAAAATTATGGGTAATAAAAATTACTGAGGCTCTTGGAATTGCTACATTCTGAGTGCAAATAGTCCATCAGCTACAAAAGGTTTCTTCCCTCTGCTTTTAGAGTGTTGGTGGGAGTAAGAAACAATGTTATTCCTGGGATGGGGAGTAAGTTTTTTTCTGCAGGGCCTAAGTCACCTTTCAAGCTGATGGATGCTCTTAGCTTTTTACATAGCAGTTTCAGATCCTGCTTTAAAAAGAGAGACACAGATAATCTTGAATATTGCATCCTGTGTTTTGCTTTTCTGAGAGGTGATGGCTGTTCTTTCTTACCTAAAACAAAAGTAATTAGAGCTTAGGTTTCTTTCATACTGAAAAAAGCTATGAAAAACAAATAGATTAATAAATGCTGTAAGAATTTTTAAAAAAACCACTTAAATAGACATAGCCTAACTGATGCTCACTGTGGTTATATACAAGAGCGTGGTAATTTTCTGATGGCACACAGCCATTCATGAAGACAGCTAAGTGCAAGTCAAGCTTGCAAGTCAAGCTTTTTAAAAAATAACAACTGTAAAATCCATCCTGCAAAAAGGCAATCACTCTGACAATTCAGATAAAATGTCAGATATTGTTTGTATCCTGGTTTGCTAGATTTGGGTACAGGCTTGACAACCTTGTTCTAAGGAATAAGTGAAGTCTGTGACTTGGCTTGTGCAACCAACCATACCTTTTCATTTTCAGCAGTTCAACAAAGAGAAAGCTGAGTCTGTGTCTACTTTTAAAAATATGGTCTTTAACTGATTTGCTTACTGGCCTGATCAGTCCACAGTGCTCTTGATTCTGCCATTCTGCATTTAATGCTTTACTATTTTAAAATGTTCCTTTTTTTTTGCTTTGTTTCCTTAACTAAAATTCTTCTTGTTGGAATATGACCTGGGATTCACTTGCTTTGGGTGCTTCTTAAAAGTTATGGTCTTCATGTGCTGTCAAAAAAGGGGGAGAGCTCTAGCTGTTTCCTCATAGGCCTCTTAGTAGCTCTGGAGTGAAGTGAGTACCAGGTGAATGCAAGCCAAATGAGTGTTTTCCTAGTTGGAGAGGATGCTTGCAGTGTCTTTTCATGTAGTGAAAATTTTCCATCAGTACTGAATAAAAGTGCATTTGACTGACTTCCTCGATTAGATGGAGACTTGCTACTGGACCTGATTCAAGACTAACCAGGCTATGCCATCCCTTTAAGCTGTTCACTTATATGCAGTAGGAAAACCCAGCCTAGGCAGTTGTGCTTCCCTGTGTTGGATTCTGCTTCTTGCTGAACAACTGTTTTTCTGAAACTCTCTTAAAACTAATTTAATCTGCTTTATCTGTGAGCCAGGGTTTAGGAGCCTTCACTGTATACAATAATATGCATATAAATTCTGCAGCTTAGGATTCATTGCTTATGTAGAGTTTGTATTTAGTCTCACCATGTGTAAGCACTGGTTTAAATCTCACTGAACACTCTGCTAGAACGTCATGTCACATAGTATTTCAGTGGAAGCATATAGGGTTTTCAACTTTGTCTTCTCCCATGCCATGTCTGGTTTTTTTTTTCCTGTTCTTTGCTATTAAGACAGATCTGTCTTTCTTTTTCTTTTGATAGTACCATTAACTACAAAATCTGCTGCTTCCTGCTGTTTCCAAATGTCTGTTTCGAGAGTAAATACTGTTGACCAAAAACAGTAATTGTCAGAGTTGAACGGCTCCTTTACATTGAATTATTAGAAATACTGACTTTTCAATATTTATTTTTTAAATTTCTGGTCACGTCTCTTTAGAAGTTCTGTGGTTTCAGCCAGTTCAAACTGTGGTTTAATAGTGGAATCTATTCATACGGTAAACCACTTCTGTCCCGCTTCAGGTAATACTTAGTTTGGTATTAAGTAATCTGTGATAATACTGATGTGTGATACTATGTATGCTTCTGCAAATTTTTTACTTCATCTACTGTGATTTAATGGTAGAAATCTTTATCAACCGAGAAATAATCAGTTCCCCCTTCTTCCTGCTTAGTGGTGTGGGGGTTTTTTTGAGGCCTCTTGGTATTTATGCCTCCAGTTTCTTGCATCTCTGATGCAAATCAAGTCTTCTAGAAACTGTCCTGTTCTACCTTTTCTTCTGCCTGTATTTACTCCTGTTTTGGGAGCCATTTATTTTGCCATTTCTGCTTCAAATGTCTATCTTCAGCTGGAGAATTTGCTGCACTTCAATAAAAACTGTATAATCAGCTTCCTTAGGTACCTGACTATAATTTGTAGTAAGTGTTCAGGATGTTATTTTGTTGATATTTTAGAAGATAGGGTGAGATAGGTACATTAGAAATGTTAAAACAGCTTTGTAGTTCTGAGTGAAAGTACTTAACAGCAGTCAGAATTGTGTGGGAACACAGGAAATTCTTAGGAGGAGG